GATGGATGTGTACCCATGGTAGCTGTCCCTCAAATCAGGACTCAAAAGCCACCAGTCTGTACCTCATTCCACAGTCAGTGCAACCCATGATGGAGGGAGAGACTGCCAGGGCTGCAGGGTGCAGGGTGAGTGGCTGAGGTCTTCCTGACAGGACAGGGATGTCAACATTCCTCCCCACCTCTTCCTGGGACTGGGAAAAGGCCAAGTGAGTACTGATTACCTAAGGTGTGTATAATCATGAAGGGACATAACCACGTGCTGAGTGTGGGGAAGGGAGACACAGAGACAAAAATTACAGCTCCTGTCTGCAGAGGACACACACTGTGGTGAGGAAGACAGACTCAGCTAGCGACAGTGCAAGTCTGACGTGATGAGCACTGAGTGTAGTTAAACAGAGGCCCCCCCTGAGTTTGACCTTTAGTGTTGAAAAAAAAAAAGTAGCTAAATGGTGCCATGCAAGAGATCCTGAGGAAAGATTAACTCTGGTAGAGTCAACTAAGTCTTCCCAGAAGAGTGATATCCATAAGAGGTTTTGTTTGTTTTTACTGTGATAGCTTTTTATCTACTTTGAGTTATCTTTTTTTTTTTCTCAGTATGGGGTTTGAACTCACGGCCTCATGTTTGCTAGGCAGGGCTTCTACCACTTGAGCTACTCTCCTAGCCTTCATATGAGGCATTATCTCATTTATTTAAAAATACTTACTGATCACATGCTATATGCCAGAAATAGGCTAGCTGTTCTGAATATAAGAATGGAAGAAAAAAAAAAAGGGTGCTAGTGACTCACACCTGTAATCCTAGCTACTCAGGAGGCAGAGATCAGGAGGATCACAGTTCAAGGCCAACCCCAGGGAAATAGTTTGTGAGACCCTATCTGAAAAATACCCAACACAAAACAGGGCTGGTGGAGTTCCTGCCTGCATGAGTCCTTGAGGTCAAACCCCAATACCACCAAAAAGAAAAAAAAAAGAATGGAAAAAAAAGCCAACTAGGTGTGCTTATGCACCTGTAATACCTTTGCCTTGAAAGGATAAGTCTGGAGAATCTCGAATTTGAGACCAGCCTGGGCTACAGAGCAAGACCCCATTTCCAATAAAAATAAACAAATTAATAAAAAAAATAAGATAAAATCATGAACAAAACAGACATTCTGTCTTCATTGACCAACAGGGATTTGAGCAAGTATTTAATAGCATGATGCTGAGTTCCACGAAGGAAAGGACAGGGAAGGATGAGAATACTGTAGAGGACCACCACCTGGGTGAGGAAATCCAGAACAGTTTGCTTGAGAAGTGATATTTGAGCAGTGATCTGAGGATGAAGAGGAGGTATCTAGGCAAGATGGTGAGGGTAAGTCTTCCAGTAGCAGAAGCAGAATGTGCAAGAGGCCCTGGGGTAGGAAGGTGGAAGGAGGATGATGAAGGCCATTGTGACTAGAACAAGGGGACTATGGTGTTGAGAGGCACAAGATGTGACAGGAGGTATGGACAGGTCCCAGATCATGCAAGGACTTGGGGACCATATTAATGATTTGAGCTTTAAGAGCAATGAGAAGCATTGGAAGGTTTTAAGCCTGGAGGGATGTGATCAGATACATGTTTGTAAAAGATTTCTTTGGAGAGAATGGGTGGCATGGGGCAAGAGCAGACCCAGGGAAACCACACTGGAGGCTCGGATGGGAGTCCAGGCCACAGAAGATGGCAGCTTGGCCATGACCGTGGCTGGGAAAGTGGGGAAGTTAATTGATCTGAGAAATATTTAGGAAGTTGAGTGGACAGGACTTGGTGTTTGAATGGGTGGATTGGAGACTAGGGGAGTGCTATTTACAGAGCCAGGGACTCTATTTGGAGAAGCAAGTTTAGAGGGGAGATTGATGAGTTCACTGTGGCCAAGTAGAATTTCCGGTGGCTATGTCCATTCCAGGATTGTACACACAGGTCTGCAACTCAGAAAAGAAGTCTGGACTAGAGACACAAATTTAGGAGTCATTTAGACAGCAATTGAGGCCTTCAGCTGTAGTGACACTAGAGGGTAGCACTGGGAGAAGAGAGTGATTAGGTCAGGTGCCAGTGGCTCACACCTGTAATCCAACTTGGGAGGTTGAGATCAGGAGGATCACAGTTCAAGGCCAGCCTGGGCAAATAGTTTGAGAGACCTCCCCATCTCCAAAATAACCAGAGCAAAATGGACAGGAGGTGTGGCTCAAGTGGTAGAGTGCCTGCTTTGCAAATGCAAAGGCCTAAATTCAAACCCTGGCCCCACCAATAGAGAGAGAGAGAGAGAGAGAGCGCTCAGGACCAAGCCTTAGTGAGCTTCAACCTTTACTGTTGGAGTTGAGGAGACTGAATTCATCGTTGTAGGGGGAGAAACAGAAAAAATGTAGAGTTGTGGAAGCAGTGGGTAGCCAGAGTGTCATAAAGAAGGGACAGGTGGATTGTGAAAACCTCCCACTGAAAGGGACATCATAGAACTCACTGGTGGCTTTGGTAAGAGAAATGTCTATTGAGTGGGGGAGTAGAGCCCTGTGAGTTGAGCTCTGGGATGAAGGGAAGATCAGACTGTGTAGACAGGAACAAAGTCAGGAGGGCATTTCAGGCAGAGGAGCAGAATGAACACAGACATAGAGACACACACACAAAAAAACATGGTGTGTTTGGAGGACCTTGAGCAAGTCAGACCGTCTGGAGACGCCACTGCGGAAGAGGAGGGAAGAACGGGCACAGAGATACACACACTTATAATCTCAGCACTTGGGAGGCCGAGGCAGGAGGATTGCAAGTTTGAGGTCAGCCTGGGCTACAGAGCAAGACTGTGGCTCAAAAAGAATGTGCAAAGACAACATGAAGGGGATACAAGGAAAATGAATAGCTGTGAATGAGGAAAAGGAAGGAAATTAAGTGCCTTTGATGGTGTAGGAGCTTTCATATATACTGATTTCACTTAATTTTCATTTAGACCTACGAGTGCAGACTATTGTTTAAATAGCTGTTAAGAGTAAAATAATTTACTCAGGTTCACAAATCTTGTAAGTAATTGCATTTCTACCTCTCTCCCCTACAGGTTCTGATCCAGTGCCACGCCAGGTGACGACATCAGGAGAGAACAGAGTCTGGACCCATTTTATCCAGCACTGTAGCGACAGGTGTTTTAGCCAGAACAGAGAAGGGTGTTCAAAAGCCAAAGCCAAATGTGACAAAAATAGTTCAAGAACCAAATGGTTTATCCAGAAGTCAGGTTGTCAGAGCCAAGAGAGGTTAGTTTACAAAGCCAAAACCTCACCCAACAATTGGTCCAAAGCCAGTTCATCACAAACATCACAGCTTGATCAACAGAGAGGGGAGGAAGGCCAGAAGACTGCAGAAGTGAACTTCAGAAGCTAAGCCTCAAGCCTCTAGCCTAGCTGGCCTTCAAGTCCTGGTGACTTGGGGATGGGGAACAAGCAAGGAGATAAGCTTACAGAGTTGAAGAACTAAAGAATTCGGCCCTCTAGAAGAAACAGAATCAGAAACGCTTTGTGGAATGACTATTCTTTAAAGAAGGGCCTTGACATTCCAGATAGCAGCACCTCCTCCATTGAGACCTCAGAGAGAAGAAAATGAGGGCAGGAATGGACTGGACTCTGGCTTGGTCCTTAGATTTGCAGGACTATACTGGTTATACTTCATTTGCTTTCCAGAGGAGAAAAAAAAAATAGGAAGACCCCCACAGAGGAACAGTAAGACAGACCTGCTCTAGCCAGGAGGCTCCAGGAGGCAGGTGCTATCAAGCAAAGGAAGCTGGGCCATTGTCCAGATGAAGGGTGTCACATTGGCCACATTTCAACCTCCCAACTACTCCACGACGTATATGTTATTTTTCTCCTCCTCCAATTTTTTTGAGCAGATGAGGAAATCAAGACTGGAGTAAACTACTCAACATCACATTATTGGGTGGAGATCAGAACTGGAACTCAAGTCCAGGTTTCATTTTATGCAAATGTTGTCCCTCTTTCTACTATGGTCAGGGAAGGCTTCCTGGAGAAAGCAGTGCTTGCTTTGCCTAGGCGACAGGGCACTATGTACAGAAGGGTGACAGGATCTCTGGACACAGGCACAAAGATGAAACACAACAGAATCAGTTAAGGAAATAAAACATGTTTCTAAAATGTGTGTTTCTTGAGCACAAGAAGAACCCAACTCTTAGAGTGCGCCCAGAGCTCAGCAGATGCTCGAAAGTGTGAAGGCCTGGTTCTCTGTCAGAGTAGTGGAGGTAAGACTGGGAAGTCAGAAGACAGGCAGGCCTTGGTAGGATATGGAAGGTGGAGGACTGGTAGCACCCAGGGTTCTTGTGTAGACCTGGTTCCAGCATCTAGAACAGGAAGGCCGCAGTAAACTAGGGTAGGGAGAGGAAAGGACAGAGCCCAGAAATATTTAGGAGTTAGGCTGCAGGAGGCCCAGCGACACCTTGAGGTGGGGGTGGTGGGGTGGTGGTGGTGGTGGTCGTGACATGTCCCCATTTGGAGGTAGAAAGGCAGAAGCAGTGGGAGCTGACGGGATGGTGGCTGCGGAGGGAACATGCGTGAGTGGTGCAACCTCAGCAGTCGCTCAAGGGTTGCATGCTGTAGGACTGGAGAAGGCATTAGCAACCTGCCAGAAGCCGGTTAACAAAGGCAGGACTACAACTCCCAGCATGCTCGGGCTCGGTGGGGTGACGGCGGGAGGTGGCTGCGCTGCACCCGACTGGTGGGCGCAGGACCTGGGTCTGCACGGGAGTCATCCCGGAGGGGGGTCGCGGGGTGCAGGCGGCGATGCGTCGGGGTCCCCCGCCCCTAGGCCGCGCCCCGCTCGCGCTCCCCGCCCCGCGGCCCCGCCCCTTGCCCCACCCCAGCCGGGAGCCTTAGCTGGGGCCGCAGCGCGGCGGCGGCGGCGGCGGCGGCAACATCACTCTCGCCGCCGCTGCTCCGCCCCATCCCCTTCTGTTTTTCTCCCATTCTCCGGTGGCGGCGGCGGGGAAGGAGGAGGCAGAGGCAGCAGCAGCAGCAGCAGCAGCCGCGCTGGCTGCAATGAATGATCCTCCAGCTTGCGGGGAGGACTCCAGGTGAGCCTCTACCCTCGGGAGGCCCAGGGACCCCCGGCCGCCCAGGACCCGCAGCCCCCCGCCATGGATCCCTAGAGGAAGGAGGAGGAGGAGAAGAAGACAGCTCTGCCGCCCACCCCCATCCCATTTTCCTCTTCCTTTATCTCATTGTTGCGGGAGCTGTTTACGGCTGCGCTCCCTCTGCCCCAGCATGGGGCGGGCTCCGGGCACTGCCCTAAGGCAAGCGCTACTACCGCGGGTGCCCGGGGGTTCTGCGTAATTCCACCTCCCCAGCCAGTGCGCCGAGGACCAGAGAGCGGCGGAGGCCCGGACTGCAGCAGCGGCAGGGCCACCTCCCAGCATCCCCACCCTAGGAGGCTGAATGCGGATTGAGGACCGGCGCCTAGGGGCTGGGCCGGCCCCGCCGATCCCGATCCCGACCTAAGGGAGCCGGACAGCAGGACCGCCCCGGCTGCGGAGGGGGCCAGCGGGAAGGACAGAGCAGCAAGATGGCCAGTAAGACCAAGGCTAGCGAGGCCCTGAAGGTGGTGGCTCGGTGCCGCCCCCTCAGCAGGAAGGAGGAGGCTGCTGGTCACGAGCAGATTCTGACCATGGACGTGAAACTGGGCCAGGTGACCCTGCGTAACCCTCGCGCCGCCCCCGGGGAGCTGCCCAAGACCTTCACCTTTGACGCTGTGTATGACGCCAGCTCCAAGCAGGCCGACCTGTATGATGAAACCGTGAGGCCCCTAATAGACTCGGTCCTTCAGGGTTTCAATGGCACAGTGTTTGCCTATGGCCAGACTGGCACTGGCAAGACCTATACCATGCAGGGGACCTGGGTGGAGCCCGAGCTTCGCGGGGTCATCCCCAACGCTTTTGAGCACATCTTCACCCATATCTCTCGCTCCCAGAATCAGCAGTACTTGGTCCGGGCCTCCTACTTAGAGATCTACCAGGAGGAGATTCGAGACCTGCTCTCGAAAGAGCCAGGCAAAAGGCTAGAGCTGAAGGAGAATCCCGAGACAGGCGTGTACATCAAGGACCTCTCCTCCTTTGTCACCAAGAATGTCAAGGAGATAGAGCATGTGATGAACCTAGGGAACCAGACCCGGGCAGTGGGCAGCACCCATATGAATGAGGTCAGCTCCCGCTCCCATGCCATCTTTGTCATCACGGTGGAGTGTAGCGAGCGTGGCTCTGATGGCCAGGACCACATCCGTGTGGGCAAGCTCAACCTGGTGGACCTGGCTGGCAGCGAGAGGCAGAACAAGGCAGGCCCCAACACAGCTGGAGGGCCAGCCACACAGTCCACAGGAGGTGGTGGCAATGGAGGTGGCAGTGGCAGTGGTGGAGAGAGGCCTAAGGAAGCCTCCAAAATCAACCTCTCGCTGTCCGCCCTGGGTAATGTGATCGCTGCCCTGGCTGGCAACAGGAGCACACACATTCCCTACCGGGACTCCAAGCTGACCCGGCTGCTCCAGGACTCTCTGGGAGGGAATGCCAAGACCATCATGGTGGCCACACTGGGGCCAGCTTCTCACAGCTATGACGAGAGCCTCTCCACCCTACGTTTTGCCAACCGAGCCAAGAATATCAAGAACAAGCCTCGGGTCAATGAGGACCCCAAAGACACACTGCTGCGGGAATTCCAGGAGGAGATCGCCCGCCTGAAGGCCCAGCTGGAGAAGAAGGGGATGCTAGGGAAGAGGCCCCGGAGGAAGAGCAGTCGCAGGAAGAAAGCCGTGTCAGCCCCGGCAGGGTATCCTGAGGGGCCAGTGATTGAGGCCTGGGTAGCTGAAGAGGAGGATGACAACAACAACCACCGCCCGCCCCAGCCCATCCTGGAGACAGCCTTGGAGAAGAACATGGAGAATTATCTGCAGGAGCAGAAGGAGCGGCTGGAGGAGGAGAAAGCCGCCATCCAGGATGACCGCAGCCTGGTGAGCGAGGAGAAGCAGAAGCTGCTGGAGGAGAAGGAGAAGATGCTGGAGGACCTGCGGCGGGAGCAGCAGGCCACAGAACTGCTGGCAGCCAAGTACAAGGTAAGGGCTCCAGAGTCTCCAAGCATGAGAAAGGTCCCTGCAAGTTCCCTTGGCTGGTAGGCTCTCATTTGCAGGGGGTGGGGGGTGGTCTGGGAGATGATGTCTTGAAGTGTCCTGATGTGTCTTCCCTCAGCACCACACACTGCCCTCTCCCCTGGAGCAACTATGCAAATTGCTGCAATACTGGATGACCAGACACACGCATATGCATGCTTACATGTGAAGCAAAGTGAGCAGGTGGTGTTGAGCCAATGAACTTGGGACAGTCTGACCTGCTGCTGTCAGTCTCTGTTGGTGGCCCCAGGATTGGTCGGGTTTGTGGGATGGCCAGACAGGACTTCACACCTTGTGAGTGTGGGTTCTCACTCCTACCCAGTCTCCTCTCCCACCACTTCCTCCCTCTGCACCATCCAGACCTCACATCATATTAACAATAGTTGGCATTTGGCTAGCACTTCACAGTTTGCACATACCCCACTGATACCAGTTCATTCAGAGTAGTAGTTCTTAAGTCTCCATTTTACAAATGAGGAACTAAGGCTCAGAGAAGTGACAGGACTGGGGTACATCCTACAAAGTAGAGAACCTGAGCTGGAACCCACGGACCTCACGTTATTTCAGTTCTTCAATGGCAAGACAGTAACATGGGTGGATTCTGCATCCTATGAAAATGGCCCACTGGGCCATGCAATGCCAGGCCCACTCAGTGCTGAACCCATTCCTTGGTGTCGTTAGGAAGGAAATTTGGGGGTCATGCAGAAGATGGGGGGGAGGGAAGGGCACTGGGCTCTGTCCAGTTTAGGCCTCTAAACTGAGGAGTTTAGGCCTCTTATTCTGCAGCTCATTGATTGACCTTGTGTAAACTGTTTCCCCTTTCCTCATGGCTCAGTTTCCCTTTCTGTAAGTAGGTTAGCCTGGGTGATCTGAGGCTCTGCTGATCTGACAATTCCATGTTCTGTATCAATCTGAGAAACAGACCTACTGGCCAGTACCACTAGACCTTGTCCAATGCTATCCAATTCCCCATTTCCCTGAGAGATGGTAGGGCCTTAGTGTCCTTCCTGAGCTGTTCCCTTCCCATGGGAGCCTCCAGCTCTAAGCAGAGCCAAGCTACTGAGCCAATCACAGCTTGTTAAATTTCAGTGCTGCAAATGCCACCACTCAGTGTTCCAGACTTTTCTAGATCCCTGGAGCCTTCAACACTGGGGGTTGGAGGAAGGACATAGGAACCATGAGCTTGCTATGAAGAGTAAAACATTGCCATTTCTTATTCCTTCTTAGGAGTGTGAGCTGGAAGCAGGGAAGCCCAGCCCATAGCCACGTGATGAGTGACAGCCGAGCCGTGCGCATTGTCTGTGTACTGGGAATGCGCTCCTGCACAAGGGGCTCTGGCCCTGCGTGTTTAATATTTAATTCACCTCCTTGAGCTCAGCCAGCGTTATGCTGAGCTGTGCCCTCAAGGGAAGGATCAGGGGCCTGGCATTGCCAGGGTCACCTGGGAGAAGCAAGATGCTAAAGGCAGGACAGTTAGGCCAGCATTCCCCACCAGGGAGGGACTACAGCAAGCAGGCTAGTGCTTTCAACTGGGAAATCTTACCTGGTCCGTTCTACATTGGTTTCACTGCTCTTAAGTTGGGAGCAGTGGGAGCAATGGAGGATAAAAAAGGGAGGAGAGGGCAGATTGACCCTTCAGCTGTCTACGAAATATGGGGAAGGGCGAGAGCAAGCCACTTATTATGGGGAACTGACTGACTTCCCTTAATAAAATTTTGGATCTAAGGCAATGTAAGGCAGGTAAGAGGACAGTCAAGAGAGCAGGGGGTAGCCAGGCACTGTGGCTCATACCTATAGTCCCAACTACGTGGGAAACTAAGGCAGGAGGACTGCTTGAGCCCAGGAGTTTGAAGCCAGCCTGGGCAGCATGGTGAGACCTTGTCTCTAAAATGACTGAATGAACGGACGAATAAGAATTCTTGCACCCAAGCTGTAGTTCATGCAACACTTCTTGTTTGGTTTGGTTTTTTGGCAGTACTGGGGTTCGAACACAGGGCTTCATGCTTACTGGGCAGGTGCTCTACTGCTTGAGCCACATCCCCAGCAACACCACAGTCTAATAGCTGGCAGGGGACTTGGTAAACTGAAGCATGGGACTGACCCAGGGCCATACGGGTGAACTGAGCAGACCCCAGACTGTTCATATTTGGAGTCTAGCCTCTTTGCATTGATCCAGAGGCCTCATGTGACCCAGGCTCCTTGATAATCAAAGTCATTTGTTTTAATATAACACTTTGGGATCTTGATCTCATTTAATCCTCCTAACAACCCCAAGAAATAGGCACTGTTATTTCCACTTGACAATTATGAAAACCAAGGCTGGGGTAGTAGAGAGTGGTCGGTGAACCGGTTGTTAAGTGGCAGAGCCCAAATTGGAATCCCAAGTCTTCTGATGCCCCCAGACCTGTGCTCTTTCCAAGTCATCCCAGATTCCTCCATGGTTGCTCATTGTGTGACTCAGGCCAAAGGCCTTTGCCTCTAGAGGCCTCTGGTTTCCATTTGCTGAAGGAGGATGAAAAGCCTGACATAGCTCCCTGGGGAGTGGGTGAAATGGTTATTATGTGTGGGCTTTCATACAGAGGTAAAGGGGGAGGCCAGCCTGGGAAATTCCATGAAGGGCATGAGTCCTTCCTCATGAAGGACTCAGGATATTCAGCAGGAAACAAGCCCGGGAAGGATCCAACCTCTCTGGTGCAGCCCCTAAGGCCTAAGGCACCTACTGGCTGAGCCCTGGGTGTTTCTGGGATGACTGAAACCATTTGATGGTTCCCTCAGGAGTCACAGGGTGGAGATAACAATCCATCCAGTCCTGCCTCTTTCCCAGGGTTGTGCTGAAGATTAAATGAGATCATTAGCACCAGGGCATTTGAAATAGGTTGAAAGCACCAAATAAATGGAGGGCATTAGCAGCCACAGGGTGGCTTCTGTCTGCCAAGCAGGGGTCCAGTGATCTCCCAGACTGACATCTTTGTTGTGAGCTTAACTCCTTCCTTACCCAGCCATCCCAGCTGCCTGGCCCCAGCCCATAGGGAGCAGAGCCAGGCAGGACAGTCTGGAGACCTCTGGAGGCAGACGAGTGGGTCTCTCCTACAAATTCGCTGAGCTATTGCTTCCCATCTGCAAGTCACTCCTGTCCCCACTTTCTGAATTATGGCATCATCTCCAGCTCTCGCTGTCTACCCTCCCTGCCCCCCCCACCCCGTTCCCTGGGGCAGCTGAACAGTAGTTGAGGCAACCCAGTGCCCTCATTCACTCTCTGACTCATCTTATAGTCTGTCTTGCCTGCTCTCCCCTCCTGCTCCCAGTTCTCTTTGTTCTCCCCTCGCTGTGTACAAACACTGTACCCGGCTCCTTGGGATCTCTTTTCCATCTCTCACATCTACCAAGTGGGCCTCAGGGTGTTAGGGTGTAGAGATGTGTGAGAATTTGTGGTGGGAATCAGTGCTCCCCTTACCATTAATCATTAGCAAGGCATACTTAGGTAGTATCTCCAGGGGCCTTGATAGCAGCCCAGACTATGAAGTAGGAGGGATAAGAACCAGCCCAGACCCACAATACACAGGGCTATTTGAACCTGCACGGACAAAGTGTGTTCACACAATGCACAGACTGAGATGATGTCTGGAGAATGCACGTAGATTGGTTGGTAGAAAGCCTTCTCTACTCAAATTTAATTATGCAAGAATTTTTTTCAATGGCTGTTTTAATTTGAAATTAATTTTTTGAGGGGTTGGACTAGGTGATTTCTATAACTTTGATTCTAGCTGCTTAGGGGGAAAGGAGAGTGTGGGGGGAGGCAGAGGCTGCAGAAGACACAAAACGCAGGCTTGAATTGATGAGTGGTTGGAACCCCAGGGTTGGGTGTGACCCCAGTAAGTAGGTCTGTAGGGTGAGGAGTGGGGGCCTGTCCACTAGAGCCCAGCTCTCAGTGGTGGGTGTAGAAAGAAATCCTGCAGAGAAATAGATCACATCTGACTAAGAACAAGACATAACAAAATGCACTGAAAACTGCTGGATAACACAGGGTCGGGGAAAACAGGGAGGAAGAGCAGTGGAGGGGTTAGACTGATTTTAAAAGTAAGATATCAAGGCAGAAATCCCCACTGAACAATGAACACTTAAACAACGAAAGACAGGAATGTAAAACAGGTCATGCAAAGGGGAGGGCACTAGTGGGAGGGGGAGGGTAATGGAAACAGGTAAAGAAGGGTGAATATGGCTGATGTACTTTCTTTTTTTCTTTTTCTTTTATTCATATGTGCATACAATGTTTGGGTCATTTCTTCCCCCTTCCCCCCACCCCTCCTTCCCTGTCCCACCGTGTACTTTCTATACAGGTATGAATATGGAACATGGAATCCTATTGAAGTTATTTTAAAAAGGAAAATGAGAATGGGGTAGGAGGGAGAATAATGGAGGGGATGAACCAAATCGGGATATAATATATGTATATATGGAAATGTCACAATGAAATCCCCCATATAACTATCATATGCTAATAAAAATGTTTAAGAAAGAAACCCTGCAGAGGCAACCCCAAAAGTCACAGGGTGCATAAATGGCACTGAATTTGCTGTCTCCTTTGTGGGTCCCTCTTCTTCCTCTCCCCTCTGAGCATGGGGGTTAACCATAAATGGGGTATAAGAGAGGGAGTTTTCAGCCTGAGAAATAACAGTAATAGCAATGTACAAATTATCTCACCTAATCCACCAGGCTTCCTCCAAAAAACGTGTTGTTACTATTCTTGGTTTTTTGGAGATTCTGAGGACTTAACCTAGGGCCTGGCTCACACCAACAAGTGCTCTGCCCATTATAAGGAACTTTTTTCTCTTTTTTTCTTGGAGTCAAGGTCTTATTCTGTTGCTTAGGCTGGCCTGGAACTTGAGCCTACAGAGAGCTAGGAGCATTGGGATGCCAGCATGCCCAGTTTCAAGAACTTTTTACAG